TGCTGAACTTGGCGAGGCACTGACAAAGGGCAGCAGGACCAATGGGAGCCTTGGAGAGGGCTGGGGACCAGGACACCTGGGGTGACAGGATACCCTGGCTCTGTCCAGGCTGCAGGACAGCAGCTCAGGAAGCACCTGCACTCTGCTGTGRTGCCCCTGGCTGTGATGCWGGGACAGGACATGAGGWGYTTGAGGGAGGATGGGTGATGGTCAGGAGAAGGAAGGTGGTCACYCAGGGAGCAGGAGGAATTTTCCTGGGCTAAAAGTGTTGAGCCAGGCAGGAGTCGAACCTGCAATCTCCTGATCCGTAGTCAGGCGCGTTGTCCATTGCGCCACTGGCCCTGTCCCCTCATTGTCCCYRTGTCCCTGTCSGGCTGCTCGTGTCCTTCCTTCTGTGGAACATCCTCTGCCCCCACCCCAGAGACACCAAAGCACGCCCAGCTCAGCATCAAGYAGTGAAGGGTCACCYSGRCTGCCAAGGCTGACCCTGACCCCCTCAGTGCCCRGTCCTGCCCCTTTGCTTTGCCTTTGGACTGAGCTCAGCTGCTCTGTGTGTGTGTCCTGCTGYGGGGACACATCTGGGGGACCCTGYCAGAGGTGACACCAGAGCCAAGACARATGATGTTCCTCTGTGTCCTCTTGGCTAGCAAAGAAATCATCTTTTCAAAGAAATCTATTATTTTGTGTCCCTGGTAAATCCTTGGCCTTCCCATCATTTTCACATCTCTCCTCCATCTGGACATGGCTTTCAGGAGGATTGTTTCCACAGTCTTCAGGCAGGCTTTGAGCTGTGGTTGCCCAGACTAGAGCTCTCCAGCTGGTCTTTCTTAACCCTCTTTAAAAAAAAAAACAACACCTTTTCATATTCATCAGAAACTCATCCCTTTTTCCACAATCCTACACTGAATAATTGTTCCTGTTCCTCCTCCAGAAATYCCCTCTACTAACGGCACCACCCCGTGTTACCCTGCTAGCCAAGTCTGTCCAGGTCCTCCAGGAATGACTGAGGCTGCAGTTGAAACATTTCCTACATTTAAAAAGCTTTTTGAAGAAGATTTCACCTCCCTCCTGGGGTAAATTGTGGCAGACACTCTCCTGCTTTGTTCTCCTCATGATCCTGACCTATAACTCGTATTGCCCCCATAAATTCCATGCCCCAAATGTGGGCAGACCCTCCCTGAGCCCTGTCCCTCCCACAGAGCAGCCCCCCAGAAAAGCAGAGGGGTGCCAGTGGTGCCCCAGAGTGACCCCGGTGTGATTCGAACACACAACCTTCTGATCTGGAGTCAGACGCGCTGCCCTTGCGCCACGAGGTCGGGGTGGAGGGCTCCAGGGACCCGGAGGTGACTGATCAGGATGTCCCATCCTTGGGGACCACCCCGGGGTGTCCCTGCACCCCCAGGACCGGGGCTGTGGCTGTGCAGGGACAGTTTGGGGGGAGGGTGACCAAGGCCTGGCTGCAGGTGAGCGTTCAGGGTGGGATGAGGGGATCTGCAGGGTCAGTGAGGGCAGGACCAGGCTCAGGGATGCTCCAGTGGTGGCCCAGATGGGGACACAGGACAGCCCGAGGTGGGCTTTGGGTCCATACCCAGAAATATTGTGGCAGAGTGGGACACTCTCAGTCCCAGTCCCAGCCCCAATGTCCTGCCCCAGCCACACCAGGAGGGACAGCTGGACCTTCCACAAGCAGGGCAGGATGTCCCCATCAGTGCAGGCAAGGTCCAGCACCAGCCCTGGCTGCCCAGCCCTTCCCTCATGGGTGTTCAGGGCAAGGCTGCCGTGGATAAGGGTGTGGGTAAGGAGGGGAATCCTTCCTTCCCCCTCTCCAACCCCATTCCCAGCTTCAATCYCACCCCAGCGTGCTGGAGACAGTCTGCTGGGTACCAGCGTGTCTGGAGAGGGACAGCACAGGCAGGGGCTGTGGCCAAAGCAGCACGAAACTCCTCCCTGGTTCAGCCTAATCCTGCCCAAAGCCTGCCCAGAGCAGAGCTCTCAGTGTTACCATGGTTACAGAGCGTTTTATTTATTTATTTTTAAYTATAGAAATGCTATAAATTTATATAAAGATAGAAAAAAATTAATTTAATAGTTCTACACTTGACTGGAATGAAGCAACTCCTTCCAAAAACTCAATTTATTTGTGAAAAAAAATAATTTAATAGCTATGCACTTGAATGCAAGCAACTCCCTCCAAAATTTAAATTTCTTTGTAGAATTCGATGCCTGATATTAAATCCCATCCCTGCTCTCCAAACATTAATAATCACCGCACATTTAATCTGTGAATTACCAGYGCTGAGGATCGGAGCAGAGAGACATTGCCTCTTGCTTTTACCCTTCCACCAGAGCAAATCCTGCCCCACGGGTTCCCTTCCTCCTCCAGCAGCTTTTCCCACAAGAGGGAGCCAGGAACCAGCTCACGRGCTCCACCAGATGTAAATCCGGCCGGAGATTAATTTTGCTCAGTGAAGGGTCCTCCATSCCCAGCCCAGATTGGAAATTCAGTTTATTTCCTTCCAGGAAATACCTTTTTTATTTTCCTTCACAGCCCTTATTTTTTTGGCTATTCAGTCCCAATGGCCACTACTGGACTTTCCCCCACTTTTTTCCCTYCTGACYACCCCCAGTGGTGCCTCTCCTCCKCCATCCCACTCTGTTATTTGCTCCKTAAAATGTTGTAAATATGGTCAGGTTTTCAGATGGTTCCAGGAGCACTTCACCCCCAGCTGCAGTCAAATCCTGCTGATTTAGGTTGCCATAATGCAAATCTGGGTAAATACTCAGGGAAAGCAGATATTTCCCATCATTTCAGTGTCCCAGGTATTATTTCCAGAGCTATCCCACAACTGAAAAAATCAAAACCAAAGAGAAGTCTTCCCTTCTCATAAGAACTCCTTTCCTCAAAGGGATTTGAGGCCCAGGCCAGATCAGTAAAATCCTCCAGGGATGGGAACTTCACCCTGGCAGGGCTGGACAGAGATTTCTGCGAAGGAATTGTTGCTCATATCAAATCTGAACCTCCCCTGGTGCAATTTGAGGTGCTTCCTCTTATCCTGTCACTTTTTACTTGGGAGAAGATCCCAAACCCACCCCGGCTGCCTCCTCCTGTCAGGGAGTTGTGCAGAGCCACAAGATCCCCCCTGATCCCCCTTTTCTCCCTTTCCCAGCTCCAGCAGCTCCTCATAAGAAGAGATCCTTAGGCAAGGGGTAGAATTACACAGAAATGTGTAAACATTTCTTTTGTGATCCAAATAAAACACGTGTCTTACCTGGAATAACCTGGGAAAGGAGGAGAACAAGTAAGAGGAAAAAAAAAGTGCAGAGGCAACAAGGCAGAATGAGATGGTTCTTGAATTTCAAAGGTGTTTTGTGG